ATTAAGCCGTTCTAGAATTCGGGACGAATTCTTCTTTTAAGGGTAGTGGAATTATAACGAACAAGATTTAAAAAAAAATACAATTAGGGGGTTAGGTTATAAGATTAAAAAGTTCTGAAAAAATCTGTTATTTCAGTGAGGGTCTTTAGTACGAAATAAAAGTTTGGACAGAATTTGTAAATTTCAGAAAAAATGGGATTGTACTGCAATTTCGGCTAGGTTTTTCCTTCTTCCTCCTCCTCCCATGGCCGACCCAAGCTCGCCAAAAACCAGATTTCTGCTCTGGTTTACCTTCTTGCTCGCTGCCAGTCGTTAACCACCACCCCATGGCCACCGCTTCATCATCGTCGGTCTGTTTCTCCCACTTTTCTTAGTTTTTTTTCATCGCTTTCCTTTTCCTTTACTGCCATGGAGTTTTATCGATTTTCGGCGAACGGAGGCTCGGTTTTGGCCGAGACTTGAAGGGTTTTGAAGCCCTTAACAAGCCAAATCTTTTCTGGGTAATGTTGTTACCGAAAACGGTGGAATCTCATCGGAAAACGACCGAGAACCACTGGAGAAAATTTAAGATTTAGAGAATTCTATTTAGATTTAGGCCAAAATAACTTCGGATTTGGATCCTTTGATTGATTTGACATAAGATACATAAAAATTAGATGATTCCGGGATATATGACCGCTGCCGACCACCTTCCCCGAAAAAATGTCTGGTGACATGAATTGAACCGTTTTAATCGAGCGGGTCCAAATCCGAAATCCGTTTTATGAAATTCAAAGTATTTAGAGATATTTAAATGATTTAGTAGAAAACAGTTTAACCGATAAAAACTTACTAATCAATTAACGTTTTTTTTCTCTAGTAAATATTTTTGAAAGATAATATATTGATTAAAATTATTATTGATAATTAATTATAGGTAAAGAAAATCTTGAGATTGTTGAACCTGGGATCGAGGATTAGAGCGAATCTTTCGGGGTTCATCATTTAAATCGAGGTGAGGGACTTTGACAGAACTCATCTTTCTTCTATTCACTTCTGCATGAAAAATAGGGAATGTTGATATCATGCAATTAGGATCTTATATTTGTTTGTAAATTAATGTAGTTATGTTGAGGGGGTGATGATTGATTGTTGATGACTGATGATGGATGATTTCTGTTAATTGTTCGTCAACGTGTAACATACATGTTATGTGATGATGTTTACTTCCATGGATTTATTGGACTGTTAGAATGAGCTATATTCGTTATGTTGATTGAACGTTTGAATGATATTTGAAGAGATGAAAGAAGTAAAGGATTGAGTTAGTGACTATGATGTGACCTCAGACTGTGCTAAAAATATTTCAAAGTGAGTTTTGAGACCGTAGTACGGCGGCGATCCGTATGTGATTGTATGATAACAACCCGGGCATGACTATGATCCATGTGGAGCCATAACCCCGACTACATCGGCGATCTGTTGAGGGTTATGACTATTGGTTGAGTTTTGAGACCATGGTACGGCGGCGATCCGTATGTGATGGCATGATAACGATCCAGACATGACAGCGATTCATGTGGAGTGGTAACCTCGACTATGGCAGCGATTCGTATGTTACTGCTATCAGTAGAGGGTTGTAATGAATTTTGTTTTGTTTTTATAATAAAGGTTTTAGGCTCAGCCTGAGGGGTACTGAATGGTCATGAAGTTTAAACTTGTTTTAAAGGATTGAATAAAGAAAAATTATGGAAATAATGTGAATCAATATGTTGAATTCTATTTGAGTAGAATGTTGATTGTGGTTGTTTTCTATTTGATTGTCTATGTTGGATACGGAGGCGAGGTTTATAATCCTGGAACCTCACTGAGCTATTCGCGTAGCTCACCCCTTACTTTTTCCCTACAGGTGAAAGGTGAAGCAGATTGTTTTGGTTGAACTCAATAGTTACCAAGAAAATGAAGATTTGGGGATTTTATTTTCTTATGACTTTAATATTTTAGATTTATGTGTTTTGAGACTTCCGCAACATGAGACGATGTTGTTTGATATAGAAAACCCTAGATTCTCTTTAAAAACCTAAGCTACGATTCGTATGGCCCAGAATACCGGAATCAGGTCGTTAGAATAGAAGAAATAGGAGTTTTGTCGAGTTTTCTCACCTCGATCTAAACGTTGAATCTCAAAAAGTCCGGTTTAATCCTCGATCCTCAGTTCATCAATCTTGAGATTTTCTTCATCTATAATTGAGTAACAATTTAATAATCATAATAAAAAAAATTCCAGTTATATCATTTCATTTTTTTCAAAACCCTAATTGTTTTGATTTTTGGTAAAACGAGTTGTAAAATTTGGATCACAAAATCAAATGATCTAATTCGTAATATCGAAGAGAGGATAATAATAATAATAATAATAATAATAATAATAATAATAATAATAATAATAATAACGATAATAATAATAATAATAATAATAATAATAATGGTAATAATACTTATGATGATAATAATGATAATAATAATAATAATACTAATAAGAAGAAGAAGTACCAGGAGGTGATGATGATGAGGATAGTATAAAAATAAGAATCTAATGTATCTGTGAGTAGGAGTGGAAGAGAGAGCGATGTGGGTGGAGAGAGAGGGTGAAAGTGACAGAGACGAGAGAGAGAGAGGCTTTATCTGAGAGATCGTGAGAGAGAGCGTGAGGGAGAGATGGAGAGATTGTGTGCTTGAATGACCGACGACTGTGGGAGAAAGAAAAAGATAAGGAAAATAAATCCTATAAATTTTAAAATCTAACCCTATAGTTCTAGAAATTTTTAAAATTTGTACCGAACTTTTATTTGATGATAGAAACCCTTATCAAAATAGTTGATTTTCCTCAATTGTTTTAATTACTAGAGTAAATCCTAATTAAATTCCTAAAAAGAGATAACGATGATCATAATTCCAATACTCTTAAAAAAAGATTTTGTCCTGAATTTTAAAATGATTTAATATAATATGTACAATTTGTCTTATAAAAAAGATGGGGATAACGAGTCTTCATGTCGTCCTCTAACTCCCAAGTTGCATCTCCTCCTTTATAATGTACGTGTCCATGTAACCTTTACCAGAGGGATCCTCTTCTCCGCAGTTGTTTAACCTTCCGTTCAATAATCTTATAATAGGTCCTTCTTCATAAGTTCCATCAAGTTTTAAGTCAAACGGTTGATAATCCATAATGTGATCAGGGACAGGATGGTGCATTCGAAGCATAGACACGTGAAATACATCATAAACATGAGCCAACTCTGTGCTACTGCTCCTATGTTACTCAATACCTCGAAAGGTCCAATGAATGTGGGTTTTAATTTTCCTGTCATTCTGAAACGTGATTTATCTTTAGTTGCTTGCACTTTGAGAAATATTTCGTCATTCTCTTGAAAAGTTATGTCACATCTATGTTTATTCGCGTAACTTTTATGTCTATCCTGTGTCGCCTTCATCTGTTTCTGGATTACCTTTATATTGTTCATGTAATATCCCAAATCCCGAAAGAAATATTTAATTATTTTTAAAGAATAAATAATTAATAAAAGGGACAGCAATAATAAGATGGAGAAGAAATCGGAATCGAAAGACTTTGAAGAAGGCCTAAAAATGGATAGAGAAGAAGCCGAATTAAAAGGTCAGAATAGGTCAAAACGGACGAAAAATTACACGAAAACACATCTTCAGGGCTCCGGACCGATCGGTCTATGGGTCAGACTGACCGAACTAGAGACAAGATGAATCAGATCGGAAAAAACGAAGAAAAACCCAAAAGTAATGCTTGGACCGATCAGTCCAGATATGCAGACCGATCGGTCTATGTAATCACGGAGCTAGATCGAACGGTCTAGCTCCAGACCGGACAGTCTGAAGTCTGGAGAAGAAATGACCGAGCTAGAATGCTGACTCTCTTCCACCTTTGACCGCAATTATTGCAGAAAACTGACCCCACACATCGTCTGCCTTCACTCATCGCATAGTGCGCGATACGGACTGGCCCCTTGACGTGTTTTTAGGTCCAAATTCTCGCCAAAATTGTGTTCGAACCGAGCAAGATGACCATTCTCTATATTGTGAATGTTGTGAAAATATGAGTTTTGAAATGTTGGTGACAATATGAGTTCAAGCTAACGAACAAACGAGGTCAATGAAGTGAAAGTCGATAAATATAGTCGCTACAGGCTCATGATCCTTCTAACATGCATGGATGATCTAAAATGAGATGATTACTACAATGGTTGTTTCTAAATCGGAAAATTCAAGCGCTTTGTATAAAGTTTTTTTATTCTCAAGATTAGACCTACTATCTCGAAAATCAAACTATCCATATTTCGATGATGTAGATGATTTCTGAATAAATTAACACTTCTTATCACAAACCCTAAATAAGTTAAATAATTTTCAATTTGAACAATTCACCCATTTGATGTTTAAAGTGTGTTTTTGCTCTTTCACTGTATAAATCCATAAAAGCCCTATCATCGAGAGATGGATCATTTGTATTTAACATGGAAAATCCCATAAAAATACTCTAATTTTACGAAATGTATAAAAAAAATAAGAATTTAAAATTTGATAAATAAAAACATTAAATGTTAAAATTTGCCCAAAAAAAATACATTAACTCTTCAAATGGAAAACAATTTCATACATGATCCTTAATTACACCGTCGTTAATTCTACTGGAAATTTTTTGAAATTATTTCGTATATAAATTTTAGCAATCCTTAAAAGTATTTATTTGAAAGCAATTTTATATTCAGATTTTAACAATGTTAGAAAATTATTTGCAATTTCAAAAGTTGATGATTTTTTTGCACATTTGATCATTTGATATATTTATTTGTTAATTTAAATTTTTGATTTTTTTTAAATATTTCTATATTTTATGGGATTTTTTAGCTATTTAATAATAGGATTTTCTTGTTTATATGGAAATCGCAAGTACACATATTTGTTTTACGGTCTTCACAGTTACAACAGGGAGAAAACACAACCTTACATATATAAATCTTTATTCTTTACACACGTGTCTGCAATAAATACGCGCGTACACACACGTGTATATATATATGTGTGGATACGCACTTTTCTGTATATACTATGTCGTGGTGTATATTCACGGGCAATTGCTGTTTCTACCAGGACCACCAAAGTAGAAATAAGTCCCCCACGATGAGCCTACACTCCCCAGCTTGTGATTGTAACAATATTGGTTGCTAACGATTTGTACAAGTCCTTGAGGGTCTGGGTCTCTAAGATTGTTGGATCCATCAATTACTTGAATGTTCTTGAAATATCCTGCCCTACCAAACCCTTCTTCTGCAAAGTGCCCACTTCCCATTTGAGTAGTCGTGTGTTGCCCGTTGGTGCCCAGATTTACGATTTCACCTCCCCAGTCAACTCTATCCGCGCCATCTGCTAGATTTGTGAATATCGAAACCGGCCAATACCCGACGTTTTTGCCGTCCATTTGCAGCCACCAGTTTCCTGTCCCAGGGTCCTACGTGCAATGGGTTTGGTTATATACTGTATGCAGCGGGTTTTGATGTTTTAGATTGTAATATTTGAAGTGTTACCTTCCACACAAGTATAGTTACTGAATATTGGGAACCATCGTAGCTTGACGGGGAAGCGAAGGATCCGCCAATAACGATTTCATTGTTTGTTTGAACAAACCCGGAGCAGAGAAGGTTGTAGCATCCTGATCTGTATGCATCGCGCTTTTTGAAGTGTCGAACAAATTATTCAGAGAGGAAAAAAGTCAGTCAATATGATCATGAATCATTTTGAAACAGCTCTAAAAACTGAACCAAATTTTTGAAATCTCACAGTCCAGTAAATGAAGAATCTGGCGTTATTGTCACCGTACAATTGATTGAAGACCTGTTAACAAGAGTACATAAAGAAAACATGAAAAGCTTTTGAATTAATGTTACTCATGGAACAAAATATATTAAAAACCGAGCCAAAGAATCAAACCTGCCATCCAGCTTCAATGCTATTAAGATCAGAATTTTGATAGCCTCCTGTCGCTAACCAAATCTGCGCCAAGCTGAATTCGTTGGGCGTCTGAACATTGGGATTCCAAATATTTATTGTGGCTTTGGTTCCAAAGAATTTTCCGTTCGGGTCACGCGCTATGGCGTACTAGAGTACATACAAAATACAAAAACGAAGGGGGTCAATGGCACATAAAGGACGAGATTATGACAACAAGCAGTATTATAAACACATGTTCACACACCTCATGGTTTGTAAAACCATTACTGGATTGAGGCTTGGGGATGTTTTTATGAGTCTTAATCCCGTAATTTTCAATGGAGTTTGCTCGCAAGAGATCCTCTTTTGTTGTTCTTCGGATCGGAATTGTGTTTTCGGAGCACTTTCCGTTCATATGCCAAAGCTGAATTTTAGCCTTTGGTTCATTCACACCTTCTGGGTGGAAACTGGGCTTCATCTGGTTGAACCAAGACAACAATACAAATTAAAAGTTTTGAACAAATAGCATACAAACGTTCTGAAATCGAAGGATATAGAGTAGTAAATTCTAAGGAACCTGGATGGTGTGGTTTTTTAGCAATGGATGATCGAATGCCGGTTGGTCAGCCATGAGGACACAGTCTATTATATCTCCATCTGGACTCTATTCAATATAGATATGGTATCAATGAGTTAATGCATAAAAGGATTAAGGATGTATACAAAACATAACGAATTTTTGACTTAGCAATATACGTACATTGATGGATTTAACAGCAGGCTTGTTGAGTCGCTCCAAGTATATACGTATTTTATCTGCTTCGAGACCTGGAAATTCACTTCCTTTTGCCGAATGTTTTATTATCATTGCCGTTATTACAGCGACCAGCAGTAAAACATTCATTGTTTGGTTCTTCAAGACAAGAGTAAATTGGAAATCTTTGGATTCGCCCGTAGAAATGGTGGTGTTAAGAGGCTTTTAGTCTGCTCGCTTTGGATTTATAGCCAAATAGATTGTTTACTTTTCTATACGGTACACTACAAACGTGTTCATGGGGTTTGGACTTCATTTTCTCCACTGCGTTTTCATGGATTTGTATACAACGGACAACGACATGCAACGAGAAATATCGCTTATACGTAGAATATATATATATATATTAGCAATTAAAAAACATCTTATGTATCTCTAACTATATTTATGCTTTTATAGAATCATATTTTGTTTATATATCTCTTACCTCTTTTTTATTTTTTCACTTACTATGTTCTTTTCAAAAGATTTATTTGATTATATGTTTTAGATTTATATATCATAGTTTTATAGAATCATGTTTTGTTTATATATCTCTTACCAGTTTTTTATTTTTCACTTACTATGTTCTTTTCAAAATATTTATTTGATTATATATTTTAGATTTATAAAAAACCGCATACAAATATTTGAACTTTTACATATTCCAAAATAAATATATGAACTATAAAGGTCCCAAATAAATATATAAACTTTTCAAAACTTCTACATAAATACCCAAACTTTTAAAAGTTTGTCAAATGGAACAATATTCGATGATGATTAAGTCATCAATTATGTACAATTCAGTTATAAGTTTAACGTTGTTAATGAATTTTGGTTTTATTTGGCAAATGTTTAAAATTTTAGATATTCATGTGAAAGTTTTAAAAAAGTCAGGTATTTATTTGAGATTTTTATAGTTTAAGTATTTATATGCGATCTTCCCTTAGATTTATATATCATAATCTAAAACTATCTTCACACTAAATAAATATGAATAGTATATCGATATTAGTAGTAAAATACGGTTATAAACGGTAATGATAGATTCCACCATAAATATTTATTTATAACATTTTCCATTATAGACACCATTATTAGGGAATTTTAATTATGTGTTTCGACGTTGTCTCTTTCAAAATGACTTTCATAAAAGAATACCCCTAAAAAAGTATAAAGAGAGAGAGAAAACAATTTCAAAACATACCTTTATAAATATGTTATTCACTACATAAAAAAGGATTTAGCAACGTAATTTTTTCGTTCCAAATAGTCAAATTTCATTGCAAATTACAAGTTGCGACAAAATTATTTTCGTTGCAAACTCATCGTTGCAAAATAATGTAACGTTTCAATTCGTTATAATTTGCAACGCTTTGTAACAAAATATTTCGTTGCTAATTGCAACGTAATATTTCCGTTGCAAAGAGTTGCTAATATTTGCAACGTTTTTATAAAGAAAAAAAATCGTTGTTATTTTTGCAACACAATTTCGTTCCTAAAAATAATATAAAAATTAAAAAATGTTAAAATTATGAGTTTTAAAAATTATAAATAAATAAGTATAAAAAATAATTAATAATATAAATATTAAATAAAGATTATAAAAATATAGATTTGTAGGATTTTATATTTTTTTTAAGAGTTATAAATTAAAATTTATAAGAACAAATAATTAAAAAAAGAATATGAATTAGTATAAATATAAAATAGAAAAATAAAACAAAATTTTATATAATTTTAAGAGTATTTTTAAGATTTGGGATAAAGAGAGATTTTATAGGATTTTTAGAATGAGAAGTGATTGTTAGATTGTATTTGGAAATGTTTGTAAACGAAATTCACTTCAATATATACAAAACGTTTGCAACGCAATTGCGTTGCAAAAGGAGTGAAAACCGTAATCAATCGTAGCCACAAGTTTATTTTAAATTTGCGATGCAATTTGTTGCTAATTGAATTTACAACAAAATTTCGTTACAGATTAGTTTGCGTTGCAAAATCAATTAGCAATAAAATTGCGTTGCAAATTTTTATGTTTATTTTTTCGATGGCCAAATCATATTAATTATTAAATGATAATTTTTGTAATGAAATTATTGCGTTGTAAAAGTAAAATTCGTTGCTAATTGGAATGAAAAATTTTTGCAATGATTTACCAACGATTTTACAATGCTTTAGCAACGCTTTGCAACGAAAAATTTCGTTGCAATTTTACAACGAAATTTTCCATTGTTAAAACGTTGGAAATCGTTGCAAAAAAATTTCATAACAAAACATTGCAATTCCGGTGCTAACCTTACAACGAAATGCTAATTTCGTTACTAATTGCCTGTTTTTTTTGTAGAATACTCATTGACGTGGGGTCCAGCGACAAAAATATTAATGAGAAGAAAGAGAAAAGTGGTTTTCGATTTTCTAAGAAATTTTTTTAAATATTTTAAAATTTTTTCTATAAAAAAAATTTAATTTTAAAATTTTAATTTTTTTTGGAAATTTTATAAATTTTCGTTGTAACTAGTGTGATCATAATTGAATTTTGAACAGTATGACTAATGTGATGGTATGATTGCTGTGATCATTGAGATATTCTGATTGGTGTATCTAATGTGATTAGTGTTGGTTCTAATGCTCTAGGATAATCCGTTATATGACATTTTATACTATTTTTCTTTATACCATTTGCATGTTTGTTATATATCATTATCCTTGAGTTATTGCGTGATGATTCTAAACATGATCAATTATCATCGTGGGAGCGATGATAAATTAAAATCATCATAAGATGCGATTGATGATAATGATGATAATTATACGCATAGGATGCAAATCACAATTATGGGTATTTGTTGGGAATGAGTGACTGGATGACCTGTATGAGATTGCAGAAAAAGAAAAGGGAGGAAATTCACTTCAATATATACAAAACGTTTGCAACGCAATTGCGTTGCAAAAGGAGTGAAAACCATAATCAATCGTAGCCACAAGTTTATTTTAAATTTGCGATGCAATTTTGTTGCTAATTGAATTTGCAACAAAATTTCGTTACAGATTAGTTTGCGTTGCAAAACCAATTAGCAATGAAATTGCGTTGCAAATTTTTATGTTTACTTTTTCGATGGCCAAATCATATTAATTATTAAATGATAATTTTTGTAATGAAATTATTGTGTTGTAAAAGTAAAATTCGTTGCTAATTGCAATGAAATTTTTTTGCAACGATTTACCAACGATTACAACGCTTTAGCAACGCTTTGCAACGAAAAATTTCGTTGCAATTTTACAACGAAATTTTCCATTGTTAAAACGTTGGAAATCGTTGCAAAAAAATTTCATAACAAAACATTGCAATTCCGGTGCTAACTTTACAACGAAATGCTAATTTCGTTGCTAATTGCCTATTTTTTTTGTAGAATACTCATTGACGTGGGGTCTAGCGATAAAAATATTAATGAGAAGAAAGAGAAAAGTGGTTTTCGAATTTCTAAAATTTTTTTTAGTATTTTAAATTTTTTTCTATAAAAAAAATTTAATTTTAAAATTTTAAGTTTTTTTGGAAATTTTATAAATTTTCGTTGTAACTAGTGTGATCATAATTGAATTTTGAACAGTATGACTAATGTGACGGTATGATTGCTGTGATCATTGAGATATTCTGATTGGTGTGTCTAATGTGATTAGTGTTGGTTTTAATGCTATAGGATAATCCATTATATGACATTTTACACTATTTTTCTTTATACCATTTGCATGTTTGTTATATATCATTATCCTTGAGTTATTGCGTGATGATTCTAAACATGATCAATTATCATCGTGGGAGCGATGATAAATTAAATCATCATAAGATGCGATTGATGATAATGATGATAATTATACGCATAGGATGCAAATCACAATTATGGGTATTTGTTGGGAATGAGTGACTGGATGACCTATATGAGATTGTCATATTGACGCGAGTCATGATTTGAATCTTATGTAATGTTTCGTTCTTAGATCCTCAAACCTGATATCTCTAGAGTATCTGATATGAGGAGTAGCGTATTTTGACTGCGTCAGACGTCGTCTTTAACCGGATATCATAAAGACGTTGCTCAGATATAATCAGAGAAATATAAAGATAATAGAGAGTAAATACATGACTTATCACCTCCTTGCACTACAAAAAAGCACGAAAACAGTGATGCATAAGTTGCGTCACCCTTTCAAAATTTTTGTGTCACCTTTTACGAAGAGTGTTATAATACCCGAATCCCATAAGAAATATTTAATTATTTTAAGGAATAAATAAATAATAAGTCCGAGAGGGATTCAAAATCAAAAGACTTCCAAGAAGGCCTAACAATGGATAAAGGAGAGGCTGAACTAAAAATAGGCCAAGACGGATGGAAAATCGCAAGAAAACACATTTCCAGGATTCCGGACCGATCGGTCCATGGGTGATCGCGCCAATCTAGGTGAGTGGATGGTCAAGTAATAAAACCTAGACTAAGCCGATCCCGCAAGGATACGAATTCGATGTAGTACCAGGGTCGAACTTAGGGACCGAGAGGTGATGGTGTCGATGGTGATTCTAGCAAGGGTCGATAGTAAGATTGTTGGTTGGTTGGGAGAAAACTATAACAAAAGATACTGTAGGTTCGGGAGTTCACCGATGCTACGGATTATCTAAGTAGATGTGGTTGGTTTGCAGTCTAAGGTCGATTCAGGAAACTCTAGCCTCTGTCCTTGAACGCGTCCGGTCAGGGATCTCCTTTCTCTAACTAACGCTTTCCTATCAGCTTCCGCATCTTTAGGTTTACGTTAGAAGTATTAACGTCCGCTATCATAGTTCCTAGGTCGAATTAAGAACTCCTTATCAAGTCCAACCTATGTGTTCAGAATTAATAATTGAACCTATCTTATGAACGAATTCCAGTATTAATCAATCCAAATTTCTTTGCAATTAATTAATCCAAGTTCAATTCTATACGGTGATCAATCCTAAGAAAGCATTACGTTCAATTCATAAAACCGGATTTAACTTAGACATGCATTCAACCGTTTAAGAGTATTGATAATTTCGTAACATTGCTAGATTCCCTAGCCTACAGAAAGTAAACTACTCACATCACGGAGAAAAACGAATAGACATGGATTCATACAACATTTCAATAGA